AGGTTCCAAATCTTCGTTCAGGAGATTTTTCCTATTCCTTGGAGAGGCTGATGGATCTGAACTGCTAATCTTTTGGTTAGTAGCTGTATATATGAAAAATTAAGCTGTCAAGTATCTTTTAGGGGACAAATCGTGACTATAAATGATAAAATAAGTGTGCAAAATGTGAAAGATCAGTTATTCTGGATAAAGGTTACAAAATTTTGGGCAACTTTTTAGAAATTTAAAATGAGTTAAATATAAGAACTAAAAGTGAATCTTGGCACGAAACCTCCTGTTCCCTGAAGGAGACACTTCTTTCCTGGCACCCCCTTCCATCTCAGTCACAACCACCTGAAATCTGCATCTCTTCAGGACTCCCAAATCAGGTCTCCCTTTTCTCTCTTGCTTTTTGCGAAGTTTTGATCAGGGGATCCTGTTGTTCAGGGCCATGACTGTCTTTCCTCCAGTTTTTGCAAATGTAGAAAACAACAGTATGAAGCACTAACCTGGTAGATAACTCTTGGCTACCCTCTTCTTGAGGAGGAGGGGATTAGCAATGGAGCAAGAGAGGCCTTTCATCCTCTTATCTCTGAGCACTACTTTGGAGACCACAGAAAAGAGTCCACTTGTAGCTGACACAGACACATTGGTCACAGATGGGATTATTTGTCCTTGAAAATCTCTCCATTCCACCTGGGGCTCCGGGAACCAGCCTGCTGATGTGCACTCGGCCTGGACCCCTTCTTCCTTGTTGTATCTCAAGCTGATTTCCGGGTGTAAGCCCAGACCTAAAGAAGGAGATATTGGCTTTAATCTTTCCTGCTATTGCTACTTCCATGAAAGAAAGAGAAAACAACCCAAACCAAAACACTTCAACCATTCCTGACAGTTGAAAGGAACCACTCTGACAAGAAGCTGCACTGAAATCCTGAAGGCACGTGGCTTGGGCCACCAGCTGCTCTTGGGAGAAGGATGGGCAACCTCCTCCTGTGCCATTAACTGTCTCTGAAATCTCGCTCAGGGTCAGCTTTGGGTCAGTTCTGATGAAATTGTACATAATAACAAATAAAATATTTCCATTTAACAGATAAACAAAAGAAAAAGACTTAGGAAAATGTTTAGAACGGGTAAATTTTTTCATCACAGGATTAGTAATTTTGTGAAGAATGGAAATAAAGTTTGCCTAATTTTAAAGTGCAGAGTATGAAGTAAAACATCACATATCCATATGAACTTCTCTCTCTCTGTCTCTTTCTTTCTTCCTCTATCCCTTACCACTCTCTTAGTGGTATAATGAAGGGGAGAAAACTAGAAAACGTAACTCTGCATTAAAAAATCCACTTGTTGATAGCATTTTACAATTGTTTTATTTTGTAAGACAAAGTGTGTATGAGTTATTGAATGAAAAGAAAACATTATGAAAAGAAAATGCAATTTCACAAGACTACTTTACTTTTGAAAAAAAGGAATTTACGAAACAACCCAAGTGGCCATCAAGAAACTAATGGATACAGAAGCTCTGGTATATTCTCCCAATTGAATACTATGCAGCATTGAAAAACAAGGAACTCATGAAACATTATGCAAATTGGATGACCTTTGAGGACGTTATTCTGAGTGAAATATGTCAGTCACAAAAGGAGAGATATTGCATAAGGCCACTGTTGAAAAAATGGTCTGACATCAGGGTTGAGGAAAGACAGAAAAGGAGGGGAGGAATGATGTATATATCATTGAAACAGATGAGGGAGAGAACTGTTTAAAAGGGTCATAGGAATGGGTATTATTGTCATTACAGAAGCCCAGAATGAAGGCTGCATAGTGAAGTTGACTTGGGGGGGAGGGATTGCATAACAATGAAAGAGTTTTTCTTTTTCTTTCAAGGAGAAGAGTGAATTGTGGGGAGGGTGTGGGTAGGAAGAAAAGTGCAACAAAGAATGACTGGAGACCTTTAGTCTCTATAAACTTTTAAGTTAAAATTTTTTTTTAAATAAGGAATTTGCTTGGAAGCATGTGTTGTGAAAAACTCTAAAGTTTGAAGGACATTTTTGCCGTAAACATGATTATCTGGACTAAATTATACTGGCACTGAATATTGGTACTGAAATGTTGTCAGAGAAACTTACAATTTGGCTCACTGAAAATCAAGATGACCAAGCAAGCAAACCCCTTCCCTGCAACCTTCATCCACAGTGCAGCTTCCCCATAATTGCTGCCATCTTTGAAATGGCTGTGATATGTCCCATTATCAAACATGGGGACGGTGTGTATCCTCACTGCAGCTTTGTCCTTGGAGATGTGGCCTCTTACAAGTGTTGTTCTTCCCCAATATTCTTCCATTTGCTCTTCATACACATCCTTCCCTTTTTTGGTGCAAATGCACAGCTGGGGAAGAATGGTCCCTGTACCCTCTCAATTCCGTATTCTCAGCACTGACATTAGGAATCAGGTAGCATGGTAACTCTACGTCTTTCCCCAATATAGCCAGAATAGGACCATCAGGTCCAATGACATTGAAGTGCGCGTTTCCTTAAAGAGACAAATGTGATAGGACTGGGTTTAGGCACATGTGAGGAGATGGGAGTTCTCCCTCTCAAACCCACATTCGTCTCTGGGGATGAAAGTAGTCTTTCTTTCGGCATGTCTTCTAAATACTCCTAGCTTTGGAAAGGGAACATTCTCTTACCATTGCCATGGCTGACAGGGAGTAGCAGGTGTACGAATAGGAGGATGATGAAGCAGTTATGGAGACAGGCATCTTGAAAGTGCATCTTTCTCATCATTGCTTGGAGACAAAAAGACACACAAAGCAGAGGATTCACATTTATGGGAGAGAAGGGACAGAAAATGAACAGAGGCCAAGGGAAAATGACCTCTGAAAAGAAACATGTTTTTTTTCCTTCACCTGCACTTGTTTAGAATAGTCTCTGTGACTACTTGCATCTGAGCAGCTTACTTAACTCAAGCTTATGTCTTCCCAATCTCCCCTTCTTTTTAACTCAGAAGAGTGGATAGTCTCTGAAAGAGTTTGGTGGGAAAAAGGTATAGGGAATTGCTGAATGGTCTTCTTAGAGCTCAAACATTATGTATACCTTTCACTTACAGTCTCTAACAAGTCATTTACTCTATAAACAGACTTTGACTTTCCCCACTCCTGTGTTACACAGATAAATATTCCTTATAACATAAGTCCCAGGAAGCAGTTTATAAAGGTTCAGAAAGGTTTCTTTGGATGTTTCATACTACTTATGAAATAGTTTTCTCATCTATAACTTTTTACTGTAGTCAAATAGAAAAACAATGGTGAAGGAAACTCACACTGTAATTAAATAACTTCAAGACCAAATATATATTTGCTGAACCTTTGAAAACATCTATTCTTTTTGTCTCCAACAGGGCTTATTCACTTGGGAGACAGAAGCCTATTTGCTTCCCTAGGGCTCCTCGTAGGGACGGTAATTATAGAAGTTATATTATCAATTATAAGCTCTCTTCATAAGATCAGTTCTCTGAGTAATTTCTGCTGGCCTAAGTGAAGAGTTGGAATTGACTTAGGGTGATATGGTAAGGTCGTCCTTTCCAACAGAACTTCTATGTTGTAGCATTTACGTGAATTAATAAGAAATTCTACTCATAAATATTATTTGTCCTGTTCAGAGCAGATTATTCAGTTCTTTTTCAGTGAGGGTTAGCCCCTAGGGTCTTCCTGGTACTTGAGGACAAGTTCAGTGTGGAGAAGCCAAGACAAAGATGAATGGCCTTAAAATAAATAATACTCACCCAAGCAGGATCCAGATGTACACATTCCAGGGGAACTGCGATGTTTCTAAGTGACTTAGTTTAGTTCCTTGCAAACTCCAGAGCAGATATAATCCAAGAGAATCACTGTGTCTCCAGGAGAGTTTAGAAACCTGACATAAGGAGCTAAGTGTCTCAATTTTTATAGAACCTTTATTTTACATTTTGCAGAAGTAGCCAACTATGTTTTCTTGATAGTTGCAAAGAGAAACACTAAAGGGCTTTCAAACAAATGTCAGCAGTGTTGCACATTTTGAGCCTTGAAAAGTCAGACCCTGGCATCAGCAGATAAGGAAATAGATTCTGAGCTGTGTACCACATGGAAGGATGCCACTCAGAGCCAGCCCAAAGGCCACCACCAGGAGCCCCAAGGAGGAGACAAGCATCATGAGTGTCAGGATCCAGGCCAAGGTCAGAGGCTGGAGAATTCAGATAACGTTTCTTGGTTATACAAAGACTTTCAGTCTCAGTCAAGTGAGGCCAGTCCCTTGGGAAAGTTTTTCATGATCATGTTAAAATTGGTTTGATTCTAGTAATTTGGAAGGAGATACTTGCTAGGGATTCAGATCATTGTGGGTGTTTGAAGTGACATTCCCTTCTCACTCCCTTGCTCTTCCTCCCCATGGTCTTGTGGTCCTGGCCCTTGGTGCACAAAATCTAATGACTGGAACTCTCAGCTGGTTGCCAACATTGCTCCCTAGACTTAGAATGTTCTCTTCAACTCCTGGCACCTGGGGAAGATGCTTCATTCAAGCATATAGTCTCTTCTTCTTCCCTATTAACTCAAAGTGTTGGTACTTTTCTGAAAGGGGTTTGGTGGGCAATGAAGTATAGGGAAAAGCTGTATGATTTTGAAGGTCAGATGTGATTTGATTCAGCAAGTATGTGTTAAAGACTACACTTTGCCCTCTCTGTTTTGGGGGCTATAGAGGAGTAAGAGAGTGATAAGATAGAATGTGTATAAAAAGTTTAAGTAATAAATTATGTGTTGTTGTTATTATGTGCAGTTGAGGCTCACAGTGATCTTATGTAAAACAACCCTGAAACCTGCTCTATCCTGTGCCAAATTTAGTGTCTGTGACAAACCTCTCCTCATTATCCCAGTCACTGTATCAGTCCATCTCATTGATGGTCTTCTCCCTGTCTTCCTCTGTCCCTTCACCCTTCCAAGCACGTCCCTCTCTTCCAAGGATCCGTCCCTCCTTGCAACATGCCCCACAGTATGTCAGATGAAGCCTCAGAATCCTTGCCTCCAAGGAGCACGCTGGCTTCAACCTCTCTAGTATGTATATGTTTCTTCTCCTAATAGTCCATGGTTTATTTAATATCCTTCTCCAGCACCACAGCACAAAGGCATCAATTCTCTTTCTATCATCCCTATTATTGTCTAGCTCTCTGAAGTATTGCCAGCATTTATGAAGACTATGGCCTGTATCAGGTGTACCTTAGTCTCCAGACTGATGTCATTGCTCTTCAGTTCTCTGGAGGGGTCCCTTACAGTCGACCTCCATTTCATTTTGTCTGTTGATTTCTTGGCTGCTGTTACCAAGAGTATTTATTGTGGAGCCAAGCAAACTAAAGCTCTTAATAATCTCAGTTTCTTCACCATCCATCACAATGCTACCAATCAGCCCAGTGGTGAGAATCTCTGTTTTCTTGATGATAAGCTTCAATCCATATTGAAGGCTGCATTTCTTGACCTTAGAGCTTCAGGTCCTTCTCAGTTTTAGCGAGCAAGGTTGTGTCATCTGCATAACATAGACTATTGTTGAATCTTCTTCCTATCCTGATGCCATAATTCTCCTCATACAGCCTAGCCTCCTGGATGACCTGTTCTGCATATAGATTGAAGATATAGAGACAGTATACATCCCTGGAGTACACCCTTTCCCGATTTTGAACCATGCAGTGTCTCCTTGCTCTATTCTGACAACTGCCTCCACATCCAACTATAGGTTTTGTCCAAGTATAAACACAACCAAATATTCTGGGATACCCATTCTTTTCAGAGTCAGCCACAGTTTGTTGTGATCTACACAGTCAAATGCCTTTACATAGTCAATAAAACACAGATAGACATTCCTCTGGTATTCTCTAATGTCATTGAAGATCTATCTCACATGAGCTATAACATCCCCAGTACCACAGCCTCTTCTAAACCCAGTCTGCTCATCTGGCAGTTCCCTGTTGGTTTGCTGCTCCAGTCGTTTTTAGGATAATTTTCAGCAGAATCTTGCTTGCATGTGATAGTAATGGGACAAATATAGATCTCTTCCAGTCAATTGGCCAGGTGGTTGTCTTCCAGATTTCTTGGTATAACTTAGTGAGCACATCCAGGGTAGCATCTGTTTGTTTAAATACGTCAATTGGTATGCTGTCAATTCTATTTTTTTGCCAAATCTTTCAGAGCAGCTTGAACTTCTTCCTTTATCACCACAGGCTCTTGCTCATACATAGTTTCATGAAATCCTTCTCTGTCAGCCAATTCCTTCTGGTACAGACTTCTTCCATCTTCTTTTAATGCGTCTTGGATCATTTCGTATTCTATGCAAAGCATCCTTTAGTATTGTAGCTCATTGTGTGAATTTGTTTTTCAATTCCTTCAGCTTAACAAATGCTAAACGAGGTTGACCCTTTTGATTTTCTAACTCCAGCTCTTTGTACATTTCATTATAAGATTTACGTTGTCTTCAAAATATAGTGAGATCAAATATTGGGGGCTGGTTGTGGTAGACTGTTGGTGGCTGCTACGGCTAATGCTCCAGCGAGGAGGGAGAGCCACTGTGCTTGACCAGGTAGTAGTAAGGCAGGGGCAGGGCAGGGTTCTCAATGAGAAGGGTGTGCCCTAGGCAGGATCAAAATAAATTTGTTTGGTGATATAATGAAAATCAAGCATGCTCTTATAGTGTCAAAACTCTTTAAAATTAGCTTTTTAGCTATTACTTTAGTCCCTGTTTAGAAGGGAAATGTTCTCCAGCTACCTTAACTGTGGACACATGGTATTAAAAATTATCAACAGCTGTGAGATCAATATCATTCTACATTGTGAGAGAGTGCCAGGACGGTGGTAGAGAAAGAATGAAGAGGCAATAGCATTGCTGTGAAGGGACTGTGGCAAGGTATAACCAGAGGAATTCTGGAGTTGAGGTCACAGTTAAAGCTAACTTGTAACTGCTCTGGGATAAATTTTACTGGATGATTGATGAAGCTAGAGACTTCTTGCATTTGTGCTACTGAATTAAAACCTGGGCTTTCACTATTAAGAAATTGAGTCTTGCTGTTAATCTTGCTTGGACTAAAGCTATATTTGTATAGTTGATAGTCTTTAGTTCTCCAATCTATCTGCCTAATAAACCCCACAACTGTGAGTAAAGTCTGTGAGCCACTTTGTAATGAACATGGAACCCTATGTTTGGTAGAAAAAGGTGCAGGATCATGTTGGATGGCATGCCTGACCATGTAGCTATTTGCACGGTACTATGGATATTATTGTGTCCAATCTGATTCCCATGCAGCCCATCAGGAAGATGAAGATGATTGTGACATAAGGATTGTGAAGAGATTAATCAATAACCTGTGTTATGCACACAAACATGCTTTCTGGAAGGGAGAGGGACTTGCATCACTTGTTGCAAAGATCAAGGAATGCAGCCTGTGGTATGGACTGAATCTCAATGTCAACAAACCAAAGATTCTTACCACTGGACCTATACACAACATCATGATGGATAAAGATGGAATTCAAACTGTCCACAGCTTCATTTTGCTTAGATTCACAGTTAACAGGCTTGATACAAGCAGTCAGGACGTAGAAAATGCATTGAAAAAACCTATAGTTAGGGTTCTCTAGAGCAAGAGCCTGTGGTGAAGGAAAAAGTTCCAACTGCTGTGAAAAAATTGGCAAAAATAGGGCTCCAGGAATTCATGTTATACCGATTAATATATTTCACCAAACAGATGCTTCCCTGGTTGT